ATTTCATCTCTAATCTTTCATGTTGGGTTACATGGAGTTTAGTATCTAGAGAAACATGAACTAATGAGAAAATTAATAATTTAAATGCTTATTTAACTATCAGCAATTTGGTGTGTTAATCCTACTATAGAAAACTCATTCTGGCAGAGATATATTACTGCTTTTTCTATTACTGAGCTATTTGTAACCATATTTCACCTTAAAAATATTTAATTAATCACTCCTTATTCATTAAAGAGTTTGCAGTGCACTGTCTAGTTCCACAATCTCAAACTACTGTTTAATCCATTTGATCAAATAAGATTTACTGTAGCACTAACTTTTCTTGTTGTCTAACCACAGTTAGACTGCATTGCTCAGTAATGGAAGAATAGCAAAGGCTATTGATGCGTCTGTTGAAAAAGGCAAATTCTTCCTTGTTTCCCAGAAATCACATCCTCCCAAAAGATGTAATGATTCTGATTTTGAAAAGTTACCTGAACTTCAGAATAGTTCTGCTATTCACTAAACAGTGAAGTTACCAAATGTGAAGTGCCAATGTCTTAGATATTTTTATAACTTCCAGAATGTTATGGCATAACAGTGACTTCTTTAAAATGTTATGTCCTCTGAGATTTTTGGAAATGGCTTTAAAAAATATATGCTGAAAAAGAAAAGAAAAAAGATGTGTTAACCCATTTTTCTGCTCAAGAATCTTCAGTTTCCTGTTGCTGTGAGCAGATAGAGAGGTTCACACTCTATAGTCACTTCATTAGTAACAATCTGCAGCAATTCTTTTGAAGTCAGTATAGTCAACCAGCTGTAAAACCAATGTTACTGAAATAAAATCCAGACCTACAATTGCCATACTTTCCACCACGTACCACACTCATTTCTTATGCTTCTTTCAGATTCTCACTATTGTTTATAGTAAAACAGTAGTATCTCAGACACTGCAGAGTGGTAACCACTGGTAAATTTATGGTTTTTATAGTGGTGACCACTGTAGCAGCATGCATGACTTATCTTGATCAGAGGCGTGCATGGCATGAGTATAGCTAGAGACCTTTTGGCAGCTAGCACGGTACCCATTCCTCTGGAGCATATTGCATGCATCCTATACATATTCAGTTCAGTTAGAAAAGAAGGCTTTTTCTCACAAACAGGGCAGTGTATGAAAATAATTCCGTGTCTCCATGCTGCATGCATCATGATTATGGATGTGCTAAAGCAATAGTAATCAATCTCAGTTAACTGGAGAACCTTGTCACTTGCTGCTCTTAGTCATGCAAAGTGTTGTACAAAGAAGCAGAAGCAATACAGCTTGATTTTCATGGAGGTATTATTGTACATGAGGTACTGAGAGGTTGTACATTATGATAGGAGCACAAGCTACTCAGCACTGTTCATTTTGCTGCGTTTTTATAAATAATTATGGAAGAAAAGCGTAAGCTGTGTGGCTACACTGCCAGCTAGAGTACCTTGGCCTTTTCTCCCACTTTCTTACACCCATCAAAGCAACTTGCAGAGATTGCATTATCAGACACTTTTTATACTCCAAATGCACTATTTTATTTTTATGGAGATTAGTTTAAAATGATCCAGTGCAAATCCTATAAAATTTACTTCTCTGTTAGTGGTAAGTGGCAGCTGGCAGCAGAACAGTTCAAAGGTGCATGAGATCATCCATATTAAACAAAACAACCAAACATTCATTTGCATCCCATTTACCTTGTGGAAAGTTCAGCACAGGTTTAACATCAGCCTTGTACTTAGTGTTGTGTTGGGCTGCAAGACCGTGAAAAGTCTGCTCCCCCAGCAGCAAATGGAAGCCTAAAACTCAGTGGGTGCTACTGAATTAGTTTCCAGTGAGGAAAATAAATTAATTTGAAAGGTGAAAATCCTAAGTGCACCATGTGGCAAAGATTTTGTTGCATTCAGAGCTGTAAATCTGAAGACGAGTAACTTGGCTAAGACCTGAACTGTACAATTATATAGAATCTTCTGAAAGTCTGTATCTTTTAGGCTACAGGCTGAAATGAAGTACACTATTAAACTGCTGTTTCTGGATAATAGATAGTTCATGGTTTCTCTTGATTTTTGTCATCTGAGGTTGAAATTATTTTCTTAGGGATTTCTGTTATTGCCACACTAGTCCACAGTAAAACTAGGTCATAGTATAATGTTCTTGATTTCTGCTAAAGGTTGGAACAAAGAATAAATTCGATCATAGCTCTTCTTATAACCTTATGCATAGAGGAAAATATAATTGCTTTATTTTTGATCTTTCATGTTCACAGCACTGCTGAAGTTAACCTGGCCATAACCTGACAACATACGGATTTATTTGCAGTATCTTGTAGTAACAATGAATTAATGAATAATGATAATGTTATTCAGCAAAAGAAATCCTCCCTTTTTTCTTTTTTTTTTTTTTTATTTTGTTTTTGTTTATTCTTATAGAATGCATGGAAAGTTCCAAATTGAACATCTAGAATTCTGTTTGCATGGGCTCGGTAGC